GCTAGGCTCATGACCTGACAACAGAATTGTAGTTGCTGTTTGTTGTGTAGTTGGCAGTGGTGGCGCAGTTTGGGTAGATACAACACAGAGTGATCATTAGATCCAAAACACAGGCGCCCAAGCTGTCTTCACCTGACGGTTACAGACTTGGAGACACGCCTTCACAATACTGCACAAAACCCATGCAGTAGAATAGAGTCAGTTCTTGCATACAAATCCCAACACGTTGTACAGCCGACTCCGTTGGTTTATTGCACATTGGACAAACCGGAGACATATTCTCCCTACGTAAAGCGGTTTGGTGCTTAGTCTGCTGTATTCGCAAGAACCTACAGTGCTGCTGCAGTACACACTGTCGTACGTTGTACAGCCGACTCCGTTGGTTTATTGCACATTGGACAAACCGGAGACATATTCTCCCTACGTAAAGCGGTTTGGTGCTTAGTCTGCTGTATTCGCAAGAACCTACAGTGCTGCTGCAGTACACACTGTCGTACGTTGTACAGCCGACTCCGTTGGTTTATTGCACATTGGACAAACCGGAGACATATTCTCCCTACGTAAAGCGGTTTGGTGCTTAGTCTACGTGTTTCATGTACATGCGGCAGCCGGGGATGCCATCCAATCCATGACGTCCAATCCCCAGCAACCTGTAGCCACGTGTGGAGGATGAATACGTGGGTATGTGGTGCACAGCGTGCACAGTATAAGGTCAAATAGGGACACGCAATATGAGGAAATTAGAATGACCTGCAGTATGTACACGACCAACAACACACCCCTCGGAGCACTGCTTCATGAAGCTGGCACTTCCTCTCCAAATGTGGTGGAAACTCTCGAGAAAGAAATTGAAGGCATGAGACTCTGTGAATAGGTCTTGTTCCGGGCCACGAGCCACCAAGCGCTCCACCGCCGCGTCCGGCGGGTCCGGTGCGGCACGTTGCGTAAAAGCCTCCACACTCACCGAAATACGGCGAGCCTCGTGAAACCCCGGAGTATCAACACCCCGCACCTCCATATCGCGCTCCTTCAGTGCATGTTGCGCCATCGCCTCGTACACGTCGATACCCAGCTTTGTCAAGGTCGGGTCCCCAATGATGACCACGTCGTCCGTCCCAGGCATAACAGCGAAGGCACGCGGGTCCAGCACCACCGGACCCCATTGGGTGTGTATGGTCATGCGGACGGGACACGTTTTCTCGGTGACAGTCACCAGTCGCCCCTCGACCGTCTTGACTTGATGAGGGTGGTCGGTACTCACGACCACGGAGACGTCAGGGCACTTCTTCTGCAGTTTCTGGGCAACACTAGCAGACATAGCAGTCAAACCAGCACCAGAATCCAGAATCCCGACAGCGGGACACACGTCGGGGCACGACATCCCCGGAACGGACAGATCCACCTGGCATGACCGGTCGTGTGCATTCGCGTCAAACTCCTCTTACGGACGTCGACGCAACACGACCCGCCACAGGCGTATTCTGTGTCGAAGCACCAGCAGACGTAGACGACGCGGAGTTCCGCTGCTGCGAGCCTCCGCGAGCAGCGGGGGTGCCCTTACGGTGGGTTTGGGATGCCCCCCGTGGACGGCCCGCCGAGCCCTTCGCGGAACCAGCAGATCCGTGCGATCGCGAAGCCCGCGAATCAGCATCCGCGCCCAAAGCCGAGGCGCCGCCCTTGGGGCAATCCCCCGACCGGTGACCGGCCTCGCCACACGTCCAGCACGTCAACGGACCAGGCGTCGACTTCTGTAGGGTTTGGGTGGGTAGGTCGTGGAGCAGAACAGCCATGGGCGGTCGTCTTATCTTACGAATTTTTATCTTGGGGCTTTTTCATTTTCCTTTCTGGATGTGTCGTGGGACACAGTAGCCATGGGGCATACGAAGAAAATAGGGGGTTGGCAGGGGGTGGGGGCTTTTTGGGGTGTCGTCACATCGGGGAGAGTAGAATAGAGAACTCTAGCCTTTTAGATGCGGAGTTTGTACTTGGGGCTCTTATCGGTTTCCCCTGGGGGTGAGTCGTGGGGTGAAATAATGAAGTGTTTGCAGGGGGGGGAGAGCTTGTTGGGGTTTCGTCGCGTGGGGGGGGGAGCAAACAGATATTTCTATCCGTTTTTAGAACCATTTTTTTCGGGCTCTTTTCGGTTTCCCCTGGGTGAGTAACGGGGCGACGAAGGAAGCGGGG